TGTAAAACACCGGCGTGGCCGCTCTCAGGTTTCTCTCTGCTTCTACTTTGGAAAGAGGAAGATAAATTCTGAACTGGTGCAGCAAGTTCAGCTAGAAAGAACAGACCCTCGGTAACATGAGTTTTAGGTAATTTTCAACCATTGGTAAGATTGCTACACTACTTTGTCGCTCGGCAATAATATTAGTTCTTATTATCGACGTTAAAAATTTATCAACTGTTGTGTGGTACTTTGTGCAAAAGTTTATCCAGAAATCGCAATAACATTAGATGAACATTTTTATGCTGATTTTGTTGAAGAGAAGAGATTTCTTTTTAAAAATAAAATAATCTTTTATTAATATACATATTATTATTAAAATTAGATATAACTAATTTCTAAAATACTTATTAAGATTTTTATTGTTAATTGTGGTAATAAATAAATAAAATTATGGTGATAAATAAATTTTATGTCGGGCTTTTGTGACGGGCTCAAGAGGAGGAAAGATATCGAGATGTTAATCAAAACGCACACGCAATCAATGAGGATGTGAGATGTCAAAGTTCATAGTAACTAGTGCTTCGGTCACTGACCACTATATGTATGCCTTTTGGTACATAGGGTGTTCTTTTTAAGCATTCACACAATTTTATACACTTGGAACGTAATTGTAAGATAAACTGAAGCAAAATATATTTCGTGTAATTAAATTTTTAACTTTTATATACGGAAATTTTAAAAGCATTTGAATTTTTTTTCCATTATTTTGTGTTTCCAACATGTATATGCGTTACAATTATTATACATATATATTCTTCTAGTCTTATTCTTATACAAATAAAGTAATGATAAAGAATATTCAATTGGACCAAATCACGTTTCAAAAAAGCAACGTGATGCAGTAAGAATTTTTTAAAAATATAGCAGGGTTGGGAAAGTTACTTTATAAAAGTGTCTAGTTACAGTTACAGTTTTTTCGCTAACCATGTAACTAGTTGCAGTTACAAGTTACCAATTCTAAAAAGTAACGCGTTACAGTTATCTACTCAAAAAGTAACGAATCGTTACTTTGTAGTTACTTTCTTGCAATGAAAATAAAAATGTCAAATCTGCATTTGAATTGTAAAGCGTCGATAAAGGCGTTTATGCGCAAATGCAAGGTCCAGATCAACTATTAATGTAACTAAGTTAACTTACAGTTACAGATGGAGAGAAAGTAACCAAGTTAAGTTAGAGTTATCAGAAAAAGTAACTGTGTAACTTCGCTACAAGTAACGAATTATTTCCCAGCCATGGAATAAAGTTATTCTAATTGTTTGAACGCGCGAATTAAAACGGATAAAGAAGAAGAAGAAGAATGGATAAAGAAATAGAAAACAATTCAAAAGTTGTCAATTCAAATTCTTATATAAAAGATTACATGTCCGCAATTTTATAAGATAAATTTTTATCGATTCCCTCGAATTAATTTTTACAACCCAGTTATGTTCTCGATTGTCTCATGGTTGTAAAGGGAAGGAGGGACTAACCCGATGACACTACACCCTGCGATCTGTCTGCCATGTCTTGTATGAATCAGTGTTAATAGAAGAGACGTGGAACTACAACTAAAAAGCATATGTGTGGAACTCGCAAGTAGTCATCTAGACGACAGTTGCATGCATGCATCGTAGCAGAAAACTAGGCCGAAAGAGGCACGTAGTTCGCATAAGGGATAGTCCAACAAAGAGGAAAAGAGGAGAGACACTTTTTGTCGCATTCATTAACGTTAATCTGGAGGATGAGGGATGCTGAGTATTGAAGAAAGAAAAAGAAAAGCGAGAAAGGAGGAAGGTAGTACGTAGAGGAAGAAACGGGTCGACAATCCCGATGACCGGGAAACGGTCTCACGTCGTCACGAGGATCCTGTAATCGCGAATCCAGCGTGTCGTATCTTTGGTGGTCCCAGGCCCACGGATACGTGGGGTGCGCGTGCGAGGCCTGTAGACCGGAAAATTGACGGAAGTATGTTTTGACGACGCGAAAAGATATCATGCAGCCACGGGACCACACCAGGGGGCAATGGACAACGCTGCCATTCACGTGGATCATGCTCCTCGCGCGGTTGCTGCTTCTACCGGTACTTGTAGCATCCGGTTTGCAACCAAATGCAGCGGATGCCGCGCTGCGAGACGCAGGTAAGAATCTCAACGCCATGGTATTTAGCACTGCACGTCACGCCAAGTGTCCTGCTGTTGAAATGAAATTTCTGGCTTGATGTTTCTTAGTGGCAAAAGTCACGAGTCGCGCACTAAAAAAAACTTCCTCGTATGTTATATTCAATTGGGGTTTTCTTATTTTATGTAGGCGTTATTTTATTATATTAACGTAGTTACAAATATCTTTCTGGTCATCAAACTTATTCCAAATGCTTCAAGTTTCGAAGTTTTAGCGTATGGAGAGGCTCTCGAAATAAGAAAAAAGTTTTACAGACAAATAGAGGTAAATCAGGACCATTATGATACAAATCAAATAAAAAAACAAGAAATTTTAGGTCCGAGCAAGATGTAGGTAGCCCAATAATTTTTATTTGATATGTAAATTTTCAAGTTTTATAGATTGAAATTTACTTCGTTTTCGAGATATAATAGCGTTAAATTACTCACAATTATTATTGATTATTACGCGATACTGATTTGTCGGACAAGGAAGAATTCTGGAAATAAATTTTATTAGGGAAATACAAGTAATATGTATCTCACATGTATAATGATAATTACAATAAACTCTCGCGTTCTTAAAAAACAAATGAAACAAATTGAACGACAATCATCTCGGTAAGTTTTTAAAATAAAAATTATTTTCTCGTATTTATAACTTACACAGTTCTGTTACTGAAATAAAGTTCGACTATTATATTTAAGAGAGAAAGCTCGTTTCTTCTGAATAATATGAACTATTGCCGGTAGATGCGTTTCTAACTGATCTCTATTGCGCTAATTGAGCCGCGTATGTATTGCATGCAAAGTTGCATGCTGCAGTCGAGCAGCATCCTCTTGAATTGGTTCAGACACTCGTTCCAACGACTTGAATTATGATTCGCGGGTTCACGGGTTCACGGGTTACTGGGTTTCTAGTTGTTCGTTGTGCCTATTGTATCCGTGCGTTCCCATTTTTAGCCTCGTGCTAGTTACTCGATTACTCTTTTAAAAAAGAAAAGTATGATTTCTCTTGCAACGAGGAAAACATAATATGCGTCTCAAATTTTGAAGAATAAGAGAAGCTAAGCTCTCTCTTTTCTTTATTTTTATATATTGTTTGTCTTTCTCGTTTTTTTTAAGTCGCTGCATTACATCCACGTTAACACACGACTGTTAGTTTTTACATTACTGTAAACTTTCTTAGTTTAGCTACGATCTTCGTTTTATTTCAGCGAAGAACGTGACTGATCTAATTGAAGCCATGGGGATGCAAGAGCAACTCTTCGGAATAAGAAGAACGGAAAGTCGTTGCAGAGATGGCACGGTCGCATACGACATAATGGAAGCCGCGATCCTGATGACTCCTACCAATACGCTATTTCCGACCGGCATATCGCAGGATTTCTCTATCTTGGTTGTCGCAAAACCGAAAGCTAACGAGTCAGTGACCAAAGGTAATGAAATTGTGTTTGCAGGTTTATAGTTACAATTAGATACGCTTTGTATTTTTACTAGTGTCTGTAATGATATTCAAGTCATTAAAAACTCGGGGCTGTTTTATAAAAAGGATAACATAAAATAATTCAAAAACTTTAAAAGCGATCTTTGATATGGTATGTTATGGTTATGATTATGAGACGTTCCTATTTGCTTATTTTACACAATTTCTTAAATCTTGAAGTTATTTAAACGACCGTCGAATTTTACTATCGCAAAGATTACACGAAGATTATCATTTTCATCGAACCTCATCATTGTTTACTTGATATTCGGCTGTAGATTACTCAACGTCAGTACTCTTCACTATCTATGGTGACAGCGGTGAGGAACAGCTGATTCTTTCGTTGGGTCGCGACGTCCAACTCTTCTATAACACGCATTCGGACGACAGGACTGAACCGATTTCCTTTGGTGTCGACGTTTCCGACGGGCAGTGGCATCGATTGGGAGTCAGCATCAAGGGCGACGCCATCACGATTATTCTCGATTGCGACAGGCATGTCACGAGAAAGATACGGAGGAACCTCGAGAAAACGATCGCTGGCATCATCATGGTTGGACAGCAGCTTAAGGGCGATTTATACCTGGTAAACAAGAAATTCAGGATAATAACATAAATGAAAAAAATAAGAGGTGATAGAGAATTCATTTGTGAAGAGATTGCGAAGTCTCTAATCTGAAATGTGAAAGGCATTAAACTTGCAATTGTAAAATCTTAAGACAGGATTGTTTTATGTCTATCTAGGGAAGTCTCGAGATGCTGAAGATTGCTCTAAATCCGGACGCTGCTTACGAAATCTGTACACTGTTTGCTCCAGACTGTGAATACCAATCAAGGCATGAATTGAATTATAATTCTTCTTTCAACGAAGACGGTTCCAAAGAGAAAAATTCGGACGAAGACAATAACGGAGACTTTCTACTTCATGAAACGATCAATACAATTAATGTACTTCTTAGACCAACAACGGAGAATCCAGTAAGAATGAATAAAATTTAATTAAGCGAACAAATTAATAAAATTCGTATGGCTCAAATATGATAAACACGAATTTAAAGGAATAAAGGACTAAGAGCCGTGAACAGGGTGTTAGTGTCTAAATATTTCATATTCTAAATTTATTGCGAAAAATATTACCTCAGCCAGGTTTGAACCTGGACCTTCCTCTCGCTAGGCGGACGTCTCAACCAATTCGACCACCGAGGATTACGAATTAATTAAGTAAAGTAAATTAGTAGATATTAGAAAAGACTATAATAAACGAGAAAGATATAGCGACTTTACAAAAGTGTCAACTGTTATTTTCTGTTATGTATATCAGTAATTTACATTGTTTTATAGTTATAAATTGCTTTTTAAGATTGTTCTGAAATAAATGTACAGTATTAAAGATTAAGGAGATGAATTTGATGGAGAGCTAAATAAACAATTTTATTATTTAATTAAATATTATAAATATTGTTAGATTACAAATTTACAGACATTATACATATATTATCTATATGATGCATGATAAAACTTTAGTTTCATAGGCATTAATGTTCAATGATTCCAGATATCTTACGAAGTGGAAACGACGACTGCGAATATGTACAATGCGCAATCAAATTATCAGCAAAATTATGGAGAATTAACAAACGATCCTTACGATGAAGAATATGTGAAGCATTATAATATTCGAGGTTCTCCCGGACCCCGTGGGTTTCCCGGGCCGCCAGGAGTACCCGGTTCTTCCGGCGAGAAGGGCGAGTCCGGCCGAGATGGACTGCCTGGATTGCCAGGTATATCCGGTCCACCAGGCAACGTCTTCGTCATACCTTCGTTGACTCAACAGGGTAACGAAAAGGGGCCGGACTCTCAGGCAGAAATGTTGCGGCAGTTGATATCTCAACACATGCATGCGATGAGAGGCGTGGAAGGCCCGATGGGCCTTACAGGCGTTCCGGGTCCAGATGGACCGCCTGGGCCTCAGGGTCAGAAAGGAGAACCTGGTGAAATTGGCGAACCTGGACCTAGAGGGGACCGAGGTACGGAACAACAACTTGTAAAAGATTAGAATTTGATAACGCTTTCTTTCTCAAAGTTATTGACTCTTAATTTTTTTTTACATATATAAAAGATTTTTTAAAAGTTCTTTCGTATTTTGCTTTCAGTTTATTTAAGTTCCTCTTTCTTAAGTTTAAAACTTGAATTTTGTGAATAAATGTCTTATAATTTCTGCAAATACACAGGAATTAAAGAAAACAAATTCTTTACAGGAAGTCCCGGAAATCCTGGTAGAGAGGGTAGAAGAGGTCGTCCCGGCAGAGACGGTGAACGCGGGCTCAGTGGACCGCCAGGGATGAAAGGCGAGCAAGGGCCAATAGGATTACCAGGTCTACCGGGTGATAAAGGCGAACGGGGACCTTCGGGAACACCTGGAGAACCCGGTCTGCCGGGTCATGAAGGGATGCAAGGTGAAGACGGCCCTCCGGGTTTGCCAGGACTACCTGGTGAATTGGTAAAAATGTTATTACATATTTACTTAAAAAAAAAAAATTATATCATTACTTTTTAACAAGAGTGTAAGCAATAGATATTTTTAAGTAAATTATTATAATTTATTTATTTAGGGTTGAAATCTGTAATTTTTTAAAAGAAAGTTATGTTAAAACACTTATGCAGCAATGCTTTATGCATGTAGCAAAGATAATTTTTTATAGATAGATTTAAAGAATAGGAAGTGAGATTTAACTGGGAGGTTTACTTACATAGGGCCCGAGAGGGTTTATTGGACCAAGAGGATTCTCCGGATTACCGGGTAATCCTGGTATTCCTGGAAGCGAAGGGCCACCTGGTGTTAAAGGCAATGCTGGTCCACTCGGTCCACCTGGTGCACCGGGTCAACCAGGACCTACAGGCTCGATAGGCTCACCTGGACCCCAAGGTCCACCAGGGCCGATCGGCTTAGTTGTAAGTTATGGATACTGTTACGCCCGCGTTTTGTTAATCTCCTCAAGAATAGACTGCAAAGTCGGCGCCTCCATGGCGGGCTCGAAAATTGACGCGCCCGCCCGGGGGAAAACGGTATCCCCCGGGGTCTCTCTCTTAATGGAGGAGCCGTTATGGTGACGCTCGTCGTCGCTCGTCTGATCCCGGACAAGCCTCCAAAATGTTACGCCTCGCATGGAGACGCATGCCGTCGAATCTGGTCCGCTTCTTTTTGCACCGGCACACTCGCACGCGTGCATGTTCGCGGAAATAACGGAAGACCGTATTGTACTGGGAAACAGAATTTAATGAGAGCAAGATTACAAGCGGCTCACAACACGTCTGCTCAGAGCAGGGGCCAAGCTCACACAATCAATAACGTTGTTAAATAACATAAATAATTGGTATCCAGGCGACTCAGGCGACTCGCCAGATACCGGACGTCCAAAACGCGGGCGTAGCAACACGATTCTCTTTTGATTGTACTATGATTTTGACTGCGTCTGATATGACTAAATTTTATTAAAAGGGCCCACAAGGAAAGCCCGGGATTCCTGGCCTTCCGGGTGCTGATGGATCTCCTGGACTTCCGGGGAATCCTGGAATCCCAGGGATGAAAGGCGAGCAAGGACCATCGGGTCCACAAGGATCGGTAGGGTTTCCGGGTGTCCGAGGTGTGAAGGGTGACGAAGGGCAACGTGGTCCGTCGGGTGAACGCGGCGAGAAAGGTGAGAGAGGTTTGGAGGGTGAAAAGGGCGACGCAGGAATGAAAGGAGAGCCCGGAGCGACAGGCCCGCAGGGAATTCCCGGCCTCGAAGGTTTGGAAGGGCCAAAAGGTTTCGAGGGACCTCGCGGTGAGACTGGGTCCGCTGGTTCGCCTGGAGAAAAGGGAAAGATAGGCATACCGGGATATGCTGGCTATCCTGGAAATCCTGGAGAAAAGGGAGACAAAGGGCAATCGGGAGTTCAAGGGCCAAGCGGCGATAAAGGAGAAAGAGTAACATTGATGAATATATGAAGTTTTCAATATTGATTTTAATTTCTTTAATAAAAATATTGGAAAAATTTTTTTTTCTCATTTCTTTTAGGGAAACAGTGGTTTACAAGGAGAACGTGGTACAACAGGACCACGGGTAAATTTTTATTGTATATAACATTTCACAATTTAGATTTTGCACACGCAAGTGAATAGAATTATAATTATTTTATTAACTCAATGAAATGTGGAATATTTGCAAACGTAAAATAAATTTATAAATCAATCTAAAATGTAAAATTAAATATATTACATGCTAGTTTTATTTAATCAAATAATCTTTTACAAATATCATATAGGGCTTTAGAGGAACTCGTGGTAGAAGAGGTGCGGAAGGATTGCCAGGACCAAAGGGCGACACCGGTCAGCCAGGATCCCCTGGATTGCAAGGCGAGATTGGTTCACCCGGTGTCGAAGGTCCACGTGGATTTGTAGGACCATCGGGTCCACCAGGTCTCGATGGAAAAGACGGTATACCAGGACCACCTGGGGAACGTGGTCCAACTGGCGAATCGGGTCCTCTGGGACCTCCAGGAATTCCCGGTGTTATCGGTCCTCCAGGACCACCTGGAGAACCTGGTCAACCAGGCGAACTTGGCGCACCTGGCAATCCGGGAGCGCCAGGTGAGATTGGTCTGCCGGGTGAACAGGGGAAAGAAGGACCGCCGGGTCCGGTTGGTTTGCCAGGATCCAAAGGATTGCCGGGTCCTGGCGGATTACCAGGATTTCCAGGAGAAAGAGGTCTGAATGGACTGCCGGTTAGTTATATTCAGAATGAGGCTTATAAGACGGTAACTCATTAAGTTTCACTAGCGACTCAGGAGAATTTCAAGCTTGTTCATTAATTTTTAATATTAATTATAATAAGATGCATATTTAAACTGAATTGTAAATTCTAGGGATTGCCTGGCTTAAAAGGTGAGATGGGACCTGTCGGAGCTCAGGGACCGCCCGGCGATAAAGGTGCTCAAGGTGATCTCGGTAAAGATGGACCACCTGGCCCAGAAGGAAAGCAAGGGCACAAAGGAAACAAAGGTTCCACTGGACTTAAAGGCGAAAAAGTAACTATACAAAGCACAGACAGAATTGTGTAATTTAAATCCTGTTTTTATTCTAAGTTCTTTGATTCCTGTTTTAGACATACGATATATATCTATAATCCTAAGAATGAAGACTATTATATATCTATAATCATAAAAGTAAAAACTATTATAAAGTTTAGCGACAATTAAACAACAATATACGATTAAAAGATTTTTTTTATTAAATAGGGCGGTCCTGGATTAACTGGACCTATAGGTCGTGATGGTCTACCAGGACAACGGGGTTTACCTGGGCCACCTGGACCAGTTGGTTCCCCAGGTGAAGACGGCGATAAAGGAAACGCAGGTCCACCTGGTGAAAAAGGATTTAAAGGGTCTCAAGGAAACATAGTATGTGTGACTGATCGATTGGTAAATAAGATAAGTTTAATCGGTAAGTAATTATTTCAATCGTGCTACTGTAACGTATACAGGGTCTTCCGGGTCCGCAAGGAGTACAAGGACCACGTGGTGAACCTGGTGCGATAGGTCCTCCTGGAGAGACAGGACTACCAGGCGAGATCGGGTCGCGAGGGTCAAAAGGCGAAGTTGGTCCGACCGGAGCAGTTGGATCAGCTGGGCCTATAGGGCCCAGTGGTTTACCGGGTCAACCAGGGCCAAAAGGCGAAGTCGGAGATCCTGGAGCGATTGGTCCCATAGGGCTACCGGGAATTCCAGGAGAACGGGGTCCGAGAGGGTCAAAGGGTCTTAAGGGTGCAGAAGGTCTACCGGGTCCAGAGGGTCGCCAAGGCGAAAAAGGAGACAGTGGAACGCCAGGATCTCCTGGAAAGTCAGGAGTGGAGGGAAAACAGGTAAGATATACATACTCTGAAAGTAATAATATACATAATGTTATTTATTTGTTTACTAATGCATTTAAGGGAGAAAGAGGTACATCTGGAACGAAAGGGGAAGAAGGTAAGATAGGACTTCTCGGACTTCCTGGATTACGAGGATTAATCGGCCCCGAGGGACGAAAAGGTGACGTTGGACTACCTGGTCTTCCTGGTCCTCCTGGAGAACCCGGCCTCATGGGCGCGAAGGGCGAGCCTGGAAAGGATGGTGAGGATGGACGAGCAGGCGATCCTGGCGCGCCAGGTGAAGCTGGACTACCTGGCAAGGAGGGATTACCGGGTCCTCCTGGGAAACCAGTATGAAAATTTAAATTTATTATTAAAAAGAGGATGCAATTTACTCTTAAAAAATAACAATAATTAAGTAAGTAGTTATTTTAAAATGTAACTTTAAATATATATAAAAGAATTATAGATATACGATACATTTAAAAAAATATTGTATAAATATTGTTGATTTCTAGGGATCGGAAGGGCCGGCGGGTCAGCAAGGTAATACAGGTTTGCCTGGAGAGAAAGGATCCATTGGTCTCCTTGGAGCTCCGGGTCTCGAAGGGCCTATCGGACCGCAAGGTCCTCCTGGTTTGCCTGGCTTGCAGGGAGAAAGAGGTTTGCCAGGCGCTGCCGGAGAAAACGGTCTCTTAGGCAAACCGGGAACCATTGGACCTCCTGGGAGTATCGGGCTAACTGGTTCGAAAGGCCAGAAAGGTGACAAAGGTCGCAGAGGTGTTAAAGGACATCGAGGCGAACTGGGGTTCGTTGGACTCAAAGGCGATCATGGAAAGCGGGGGGAAAAAGGTGAACGCGGACAGCCTGGGGTGGAAGGGCTCAAAGGAGAGCCTGGACGTGCGGGTCACACTGGACCCAGAGGGGAACTAGGATTTGTCGGTCTACCTGGACCACTAGGACCATCCGGATCGAAAGGTCATCCCGGGAATGACGGAATGCCAGGTGATGTAGGTCCGCCGGGTCCACCAGGTCCACCGGGACCACCTGGTCTATCGACGGGACAATTTGATTTCGAAGGGATAATACCACCAACGATATTTCATGATCAATCGGCCAGAAGAAAACGCGACGCTTCCGAAAATATGTAAGAATCCACCTCGATCTAGCAGGAAAACTAGTAAATATGTAATCAAAAATTGTGTTACTTTTATAACATTCTCAATGGGTCTTACTTTGTTTTACGTATTCAAGTAAATCGTAAACTTTCGTTCAGTGGATTTGGATTTTAGAATTGTAGAGAGATTTGTTTTCTCGATCCGTTTAGCGATGAAGAGGAGATATTTGACAAGAAGCTCTTAGACATAAACAAGGCGTTTTTCAACATACAACAGCATTTGCATTTAATGCGCAAGCCAATTGGTACCAGAGAAAATCCGGCCAGAACGTGCAGAGATCTGTTTTACGGACACCCCGATTTGAAGGACGGTAAAATCATTCTTGTGCTACAATTTTCGATTACATGTCGCATCAGATTTTTATAAGTAAACTTTAATATTTAGCAAACGAAACAATATCTATAATTTCCTCTTTTTTTCATGAAAGAAAGTTCTTAATGCTAATATTAAACTCTCAGCGGATATAAATTTTGACAAACTTTCGGTACCTATATCTCAAGAATTTCATTTAAAAATATGTAAATTCGTTCTAATGCATTATCCTATTACTTTGTGCAAAGCTCGGTTCTTTTTATTGGTGACATTTTTATGTAAGAATATAAAAACTGGATATATTCATTGAGAGATTAAAACATTTTATCACGTTTTATATTATACATGTATTACGTCAAACAGGTTGGTACTGGATCGATCCAAACTTGGGCATGCCTGACGACGCTATCAGCGTGATATGCAACATCACGAACATGGGCGAGACCTGCATCTTTCCAGATATCCACAATAGTCACATGCCGAACATACCGTGGAGGAAAGAAGAAAATAAAACCAGCTGGTATTCGCATTTACGCGGAGGGTTTAGAGTGAGTTCGATTAAATTTTCATTCCTCTCTTCTTCTTCTTCTTCTTCATCGTGTATTAGGCTTAAAGCCTGTTTCATCTAGTTCTTGTTCTGGTACTATGAGCATTTGATTTTACTTCATCTTCGGTAGGCTGCTAAACCCGGATCTTTTCGTTCAGTTGTTTACTAAGCAGCGCATATTTCTCTGCGCCACACTCGTCACCTCATTCCTCTCAGTACGATTAATTTCGTGCTTCTCTTCGCCATTAAAGTTATCATTATCATTGTTAACAATACTAATTAAATAGCATGTTCGAGTCTCGTCTTGGAGAGACATCATCAAAACACTATCAAAAGACTTGATCGCTAAACAAATAAGTAAATGAATGAAATTATATAGTCTAGAGCTATGAATCTTATCGGAGAATTAACTACGTTTTCCAGATAAGCTACGAGACGGTCGGAGTAGTGCAGATGAACTTCCTGCGTCTGCTTAGTCAGGAAGCTTATCAGAATTTCACGTACACGTGCATGAATAGCGTTGCCTGGTACGACAGCGAAAGTCGCGGCTACGATTTCTCGGTGCGATTACTCGGCGAAAACGAGGATGAATTCTCGTACAATGGCATCAGGCCTCACGTCATCGCGGACGGATGCAAGAGCCGGAGTGGCAAGGAGGAGACCGTGTTATTAATTCGCACCAGGAAGCTACAGCAGCTGCCGCTGGTCGATTTTTACCCGGTCGATTACGGATCGCCACAACAAGCTTTCGGCTTTAAAGTCGGCCCGATTTGCTTCAAATAAATCGGCGAACTGATCACGCTGTCCTCTTGCGATTATCTTTACAATTCTTATACGATTGCGAGAGGTACAGTTTAAGGCAAAGTTCGATTTACGCATAATTAAGGAAATAAGAGATTATCGTGTATTTATAGCATGATTATGGACTTTATATGTAACACGTTTTAACATTTTTTTTGTACAGTGCAGGCCAATATTTTATGATAATTTATACGAATAATACGCTTAATATGTGTATAAATAAAACGGCCTGTTAATTATTAACCGTTCTCCAATTTACTCTCAAACACACTCCAGCTGTTAATAACTCTTAATTAATTAGTTAATAAAACCTATTTACCTATACCCTTATCGGCGCGTAATTCACAAAAGTCGAAAATATACGCGTAGACAACATCTTTATACTGTTATTGTAACAAATATTATCATATGGCTCGGAGGTCGAATTGGTGAGACGCCTAGAGTGTAGGGAGGTCCAGGTTCAAACCCTGGCTGAGGTAATATTTTTCACAATAAATTTTCTGTATTATTAAAAATGTCAAATATGGTCAAGAAAGCACTATAAAGTTGTTAGATAACACGATTTTAAGAAACGTCCGCTGGCGACATTGAAGAATTCTGATTAGTCAATTAGTTAATGTTTTACTTTAAATTTTGAATTATTACATGTTGCAATATCATTGATTGTCAGCATTAAACAAGTTTTTCAAATTATTTTCAAGTAGATTGTACATTTTTATTTCCGATTTTATTATATATTTAATTATTTATTAATATGTACGCGGATTTTTGCTTACCTCTACGTACATATAACAATGTTATCGATTATTAATTCAATATTTATCTTTAAGGTATATTATAGTATATTATACATTAGTGACACACGGAGCAGTTTAGTCTTGTTGAAGCAGGCCATTGCCGTAAGGTTCCGTGGTGTAGCGGTTATCACGTCTGCTTTACACGCAGAAGGACGCCAGTTCGATCCCGGCCGGAACCACTTTTTTTTTTCTTATACTTTAGTTGCTCTCGTATGAAATATTCTAAAAAGCACTCTATTTAATATTTTTTACAAAGGTAGAGCGCGGAATAGGAATGTACAACTCGTACAACTGCATAGTCTCTCTCTTTTCAAAAGATGATTATGAAGAAAGGTAATTTTTTAAATCAATATCTGAGATATTACGTTTCTTCATAATCAATTTTTAAAAAGTATAATTATAAAGTATGTTGTTGAAATTGGGGCCACTGCAGAGTGTTTGAAAAAGCGTTTTGTTCATCTCGAGGATAAGAAGAAACACGAAAAAAAAATCTATGATTTCGGATTGTAGACATACTTTTACCTTCAAAGCATAAAATGTATTACAAAGTACACTTAGTGATACACGATTCTAAAAATATCTTATACTATTCAATGATTATGATTGCCGAGGTGATAGACTATACATTGCAGAAATAGTCATTCTTCAGGGACTGAACATTCATTAATACGTTTACGTACAATACATTTCGGACATACATTTATCTTGTTTATGGAGTTCAACCGGAAAAATAAGAAGATACCATTTCGGTAATTTCTTTATTTAAGTAATTAGTCTCTATGAACTGAAATGAAGCTAAATTTATCGGGCAAGAAAACCGCCAAGGGCTTCATTGAGTGCTTTGCTAGCCGACGTCACACTTATCGACTCTCCGGCGAAGGGGCGAAAGTATGAAAAGATTCGAGTGAGAGATAGGGCGGATCGAAGGAATCCGCGAGAATGGCGAGATATGCGTGGGCGAACCGTGAGAAGCCGCAGGTGACACCTTGTCATGGCGGTCGGCGATTCACACTTCGGTTTCTTTCGTCCTTTTTCTGGTGACAAGACAACCGAAGTAACGGTACAGGGCCGCTTTCAGCGTGGAATTGAGAAAGTGGAAAGCTGAAGGAACTGACATCCGTGTTTAATGAAATGAGCAGTAGAAAAGAATTATATAAGATTGATATATATCATAACAAATATATATTACTTGTAAAGCATGAAAATGTGTCGATAAGATTAAGGAAGATCTGATTAGATTCGACGGGAAAGTTCAAAAATCTTGCTTTTCTTTTAATATAACTCGGAAGATATATTGTAAAGTGTCTAAATATTGTTAATCCGTTATTTCAAAGACTAAAATATTTAAAAATACGTTCTGTTTGTAGGAAACATACAATAAGTCGACGAATTGTTGTGATAAAACGACAGTAATAGTTCTGCTGGAGGAGACCGGCGTCCCTGGCGAGCATCTTTTTCAGTGAAACGCGGTAGGAGGGATAAAAGGTTTCCTTGTTTAACAAAATATCGTCTCCGAGCCATTAGCCCGACCGTTACCACTTCAGCGCGATTTTCTGCTCCCGCTATCGCGTCGAGGAGGCACTCGAGGATCTTGCGGATCCTGCGAGCTATCAAACGCAGATCTGCCTTTCTCCACCCTCCGGGACAACTTGGGTGTGTTGAAATTAACGGGAGAAAGAGCTCGGTACACGCGAGACTGTCGCTCTTAACTCGACCTTTAATTTCCGTGATTCAAAGTGATCATAATGCTCTCTCCTTCGTTTCTTTGTCAATTTTACCTTTTCAGAAGACATCCGTAGATGAGAAATGACTTATAAACAATTGAGGCGCAATCCTGTTATTAAATTTCTTAGCATAGGAACTTTTTAAAAACTACATAGAACATTTTCTTCTGGAAGAAATGGATTTCAAGTTCGTTACGATATTTATTAAATTTTTATTTTGAAGGAAAATCTACACACCTCTCTTATGTTAGAACATGATTGATATCATAATGCAATTAATTAATTAAATTCCTGTCTCTTGTTAATCTTTACAAATATTTTTGAGCAAACACATTTTCTTCGGGTTTACTGAAAAACCTCGCGAGTCCCAGGCATCGTGCATAAAATATCTAATAGATAAAACGACTGACCTGATCGTATACATGTACTCTCGAGATGGCGATCATTGATTTCTAGGGAAATAATAAATGAAATATTCATAATACTGTATGCCATTACGCTTGTCTTGCGTAACCGTAACGTCGCAGCACCGTGAGAAACAGCCAGATGTCACAGTCACTCCCAGAGTATGGTAACAGGAATGTGTATTCCAACGAGGCCTGTCAGATCTTTATTTAAGGATCAATTATTGCCGAAGTCGATTTATAATGCAAATCGATATGGAAACTACGCAGCGTGATCGTAGAGTAAGATTCGAATAATGATCGAATAAAACATATTCTATTTAAGAAATACACAGGATGCTTTAGGACTGTCAACCCTTATTTTGTTTTCAGACTTTTGGGGCGATTTTTTCTTAACGAAAATTTAATCTCATCTCTGGACTTCAATTTTTAAGAATTTATAAGATAAATTTTATCTCCACAGAATTTTTAAGTATACAAATAAACCTATGGTTTTAAACTTTGCTAAATGAAAAATATGTAAATGTCTTACTAGCTATATGTCTACGGTTCAATTTGCAAAATTTTCTAAACTTTGGACCTACGTTTAATTATACTTTACTAATAAAGAAATCTTTAAATCTTTTTAATTCGTTCATATTTACATACGATGATATAATACAAAATTTATTTATATAATACAAAATTGTTCGTTAAACTAATCAATATCAAGTTGTAAAACGTGTTTCATTCTTTTGTTACATATGAGTTTTCTAACTCCTATTTTTTTCTTTTACGTATTTCATTATGTTGTTAAATGTTGAAAAGGATCCAACCAAGTATAAAGCAAATTTCTTTTCCACACAATCTCTCTCTCTCTCTCTCTCTCTCTCTCTCTCTCTCTCTCTCTCTCTCTCTTGATTCCCCTCATACTCCTCTCGCGGTTCGTTCGATAACGCCGGTTCGACTTCGGTGGTTCTTCGCGATTAGCCGGAGGGAGAGGTGGTAAGAGCCGCGCGCGAATTGACTTTCGCGCTCCGACTCACTCACCGCCGTTTACAGCAGGGTGGAAGCGAGGATATTCCTTGCTGCTTAGCCGAGGGGTTGTGCTCGTTCAACCCCTACGAGGATCGTGAGATCTGGCCCCGCCTGTCAACCAATCGTCGTCGCTGGTCGACGTCTCGCGCACGTGTTCTCGCGTCGACGGACAGCTCGTCCGCCCAGTCCGCGCGAACGGGGGATGATAATTCTCGCTGGCTGATACCCTGCTCTGCGCCACCACCGCGAGCCGCGGCCAGATCGCGACGGGCAAAAATTACGAGTTATAGATCGCACGTGCGTACGCGAGTTCGACGCGTTTTTCTCGCCGATAAATAACGATCATCGCGAAAACAAGATCGAGGGGATTTTCACGATTCCGATCGGGACAAAATCGGCGGCGAAATCGGCATGGAATTCCGAGGGGTACATCTCGCGGTTATATAGTGGGTTGCTTTATTTCGTGTCTTGTGAATTGTTACGCGAATTCTTTGGGGGTTTGCTGTCATCGTGGCACGAGACTGACCACGTACAAACTTCGATTTAGGTAATACAATAGAAAGTTTGAGGGCGATTGATGGTTATCGGATCCTAAGATTGCTAAAACATTTATTATCTATTCCGACAAAAGATTTTTTAAAGGTAAACAAGTATTTTGAAGAATATTTCTTAAATATTAATTTCTTTTTAAGAAGATGCTTTGCGTTTTCTGGAGAACGCGTTATTACAGCTTGAGTCGAATTTTACAAGATATTATCTTATGGAGCTAATCTTACGGAGTATCGCACATCAAACACGAAAAAACTAAACAAGTACACGGTAACGATATACTAATCGAAAAATCGGGGGGCTGTAGAAGGGTGTGTATCATTCGCGACGATCACCAAGCTCGGTTGAAGACTTAACAAATCGCAGAGAGGAAAAAGAGTGAGCTTACAGACTTGGGATCTAATACAAGTAAGTAACTTTGTTAATATAATTAATAAAAACAATGCTAACGATAGCAGTACATAAGAAAGTGGTATTACTTGCCAACAATATGACTCACTATAGTAATGTATTGTATTTCTTTAGCATTGCACAGTATACTATTCAAGTCATGCAAAACAATACTGTTTCATAAATATAAATTTTAATATAATTACAAATAAAATGGTCTTGAATATAAGGATGCTTTTGTACAGCGATGGACAGAATGGTTGTGAAACTGTTTAAAAAATGAGTTTAGGAGCGCGCAATTAAGTTCAGATTAAC